TTTTTCTACAAGTTGTTCTTTTAGGAATTCTTGAAACAATCTATCAACATGAACCATTCACAAAACTTTGAAATAATCTGTTAGCGAACCTGAATTATTATTTAATTCCGATAAATTTTTTAATTTAAATGCACCTGTAATATTATATGGGATAGCTTAATCAATGGAGCCTAGCTCAAAATCCTACTATTCCACACGATTTTGCAAAATGGAGCAAGGAAGAATTTAATATCGTAGAGGGCTATTAATAGATATATTCTAATAAGATTTTATAATATTACGCCAGAAGATTTTCATGACAAGGTGTATATCCTCTTAAAAAATTGCTACCAAAAGATTTGGTCAAGAATATTTTCGCATTTCATATGAATTCAAATCGTGTATCAAAAGTTGACTAAGTTTTAGTTAAACATCAACATTTTGTCCTATTTGACAATTGGTTTGAGTGATAATTCAAGAAATCATCATGATTTCAAATTTTTCTATCGTGCTAGTAGATACAGAACGGATGTAATAATATTTTATAATAAATGTGATGATAAAGCAGCTATCTTTGTCGCAAAAATTAATGGTTATAATCCGTAAGATTGGAATGTTCCTGGCCAAGCTATTAAAACTACATCAGATAGTTTTTTATTTTTCTTTGATGATTATAGAAATGTTAAAACAGGTAAACTAGGTAGAGTGTTAAATGGTAAAGAGCAAAGTGCTTTAGTTTGTAACAATAATTATGGACCAATTTGACCATTATAAGTATGATGTATCTTGTAATGGAATTCTAATATCCTAACCTTAATATTCCTGATACATTTAAGATTGATGATTATGAAGTATTTCAGGTAAATTGAATGGTTCGTTGTACTGAATGCCATGAATCAATGGAATTTATTTCGAATCGTTTCACTATGGCATTTCTGTATATTTGACTATCACAAAACGTCAATAATCAATTTTTAAAAAATTACGCTTTGCATATATTCACGTGACTGTTACGAAATAATTTACAAAGAAAGTTTCATTCAAAAAAAAAAATTTTTTTTTATTGAAAAGCAAGCATATATTAGACAAATTATTTTATGCAATGATGCTTAATTTTAATCGACAACTATACCGCCGTTGAATCCAAAAAATTACTCAGATCTGTTAGAAATACTAAATATTATTAATATTAATCTTTGAAGATATTAAAAAATTGGGTCTATAAGTACATTATTTAAACATGCATGTCTATTTTTTTTTAATTAATTTTATCGACAAAGATATATATTATTTTATTTATGTCACTAAAATTTACTTAAAAATATTATTTCATAATGTTATTAATTCCACCTCTTAACAATAAAGTAGATAACAAAATCATGAGATGAATTAAAATCTCTTAAAATAGAATGAAATGATAATTATGATCAATATGAGCACTGCTTCTCGCCTACAAAAAAAAAAAAAAATTAATGAATGTATTTATTTTATATATTGACAGTTCTTACGAAAATTTAACATACATTACTTCAAGTCGTTTTTTTTATTACTTGGAATACTTCATAATCGGTAATTTCGAATTCACCATCTTCTCTGATTCGTTTTTTGTAACTATTCTTGTAACAATTTCCTTCTTTATGTTCGATATATAATGATAAATCACCTTCATTGTTCCCGAATTCTAGGCCATGATTGTATATTGCATATTTCTCATCAACAACTTTACTACAGATGTATTTTTTTTTATTAAAAGAAAAAATAAAACTCGATTTAGTTTTAGAGTATTCTGATGCATAATCATTTGAAGTCCAAGAATATGGATTAAATCCTCCAAGGATCTCTTTCGTATTTTTAACGTTGGCAATAGTAATTGTAGGTCCTCTTTCATCACAGTATTTATGAAATGTATCTATATCAAACCCATCCCTGCTTCCGCGAACAAGTAGATTAAAATCATAAGAAACGTTACGATGATCTTGATTTACTAATTTGATTGAATTGCCAAGTAAGCAAGATTGTTCAGAATTAATGATCTTAGAATCAAAATTAGATGTTGAATGAATATAATTATTGAAAGAATAATATTCAAGAATTTGAACATAGAATACATCATCAAAAACATTCTTGAATGGTTTAATTTTCTTAAAGAAATCCAGGGGACTAATTGTTTTAAAATCTATATGTGGTATAAATGGTTGAATAATTGTTTTAAATGTTGAGATATCATTGTGAGTCCATTTTGATATATCCGATGGTAATCCCTCATCAGGTTGTGCAATACTCCATTCTATTAATTTATCCCAAATTACAATAGACTTCACAGAATAGTTATTTTTCTTGAGAATATCAAGGAGCATTTCTTGTTTGATTGTTGTGAAGTCATCGGCTTTGAAGACTAACAAGGGATCATTTCGAATAGCAATCTTACAGAATCGATCTAATTTGATAAATTGAGTAAATTGAGCTGCAACATTTTGAATAAGAACGAAATTCTTTTTTAATGATTCTTTGTTGTCAAGAAGATAATTTTCAATAGAATCACACAGAATGTTTAGGCACAGTTCATCAGCCGCAATTAAAATGGCAACATTTGTTTTAACTGCATTTTTGGAAAAATCAATATCACTGCTATAGATGTATCTAATAAATTTGAAATAATAAATTCATAAATTAAATAAATTATTCGAGATATCCTGGAATAAATTAATTATTCTTACTTTAAAATAACATCGAATACTTCAACAGAGATGTTCGGTTTTTGTAATTTAATAACGTTATCTTTCGTTCTTTGCCAATTATTTGATAAAGCGGTGCGAAAATAAGGTGAACGTATTTTTAAAATTAAAGAATGTACTTTAAAAATTTTTGTATTGGGCTTTTCTCCAACTATAATTTCTGTATCCGAAAATTCACTAGAATAGAGTACATCATTGTATTCATCACACAATGATTCTAACATATTGTTGGAGGACATTTATGAAATTTCAAGTGTTGGGTAGAAAATGTAAGGATGAAGGATAATTTACAACGGTAACAATTACACTATTTAAAGGATCGTCAAACAATTATATCATCATGCAGATCATCGGTCAAAAATGTTATCATGGTGATGAAAATTTATTGTGGCTGACAAATGTATAATTTTATTTTATAATAGAAATAATGGAATATTGTTCTGCTCTGACAAATAAGATACTACTGATGTTAGTTATACAAAACAACAGTCACTTTTCGTAGACTCAAAAGATGTCACGATTTTATTGCAAAATTCGAGCTTTATAATTCTGGCTGAAATTAATATAATTTCAGCCAAACCACAGAAATAAAAATTCGTGATAAAATCGTGACTAAGTCCATCGCCTTTATTAACTACTTAGTATCTTTTATTACTTAATTTTCACTTAACACGTCGGTCTTTTGCATGAATCACCAAGCTCGTTCATTATTTTAATACGGTGATTTTTACAATAAATTTGTAATATGTTTTGTAATAAAGTGAATTTATTATTAAAGTGTTGTATAAATAAATGATTTCTATTGAACTTTTTTTGAAAACGCTGTTCATGCGTAGCATTGCGAAATAAATGAGACTTTCAATATACGAGAAATTTTTTTCAAACCCTACATATATCTCTCTAGTTCATGGAATTATTTTTAATTTTATTCACGTCCATTTTTAATAAATTATTAGATAATGTTTATTTATTGTATTTTTCTATTTTTCTGAGTAAGAAACACGTCGTCATTATTATTTGTGAAACATACTTATAAAAATGAGACAACAAATTTTGGAATTTGAATTGAACCGTTTCCCCCAAAATTGGCTTTTTTACTCGTCTATAAATAATGACACAGATATAAACAAGAATTCTTGCAAAATGGTCTTCTGTAAGGGTAGCTTTTATTTTCGAAAAATTTGAAGATATTGTAAGTGTCTTAATTTTTAGGGCATTGTCCCAAAAAGTACAAGAATAGATTATTAATTCTACCACCTCAAAATGAACAGTAGGATCAACTTGCACATACTCTTCCACACCAAAATTATTCGTGTGGTGCTCCAAAAGATCATCTTATGAAATGCCCTTATGATATTGCCGTTGATTGCAAAACAAACTCACTGTCAACAATGTATATATCCGGCCTGCAATGGAGAAATGGCGCAAATCGTCAAAATACAGACGGCGATCAAAAAACTATACGGAAAATTTTAAATTTATAAATTTATATAAATAAAATAAAGCAAATATAATATAAAGGGTAAAAAAAAATCATTTTATCTTTATTTAATCATCATAAAAAAATCCCAATACTAATATTAAAATCTATTGCTAATTGCTGCTTTGATCTCCACGGCATAATATCAATCAATTTTTTGTAATATTCCGGAGGAATAACCTTCTAAGATCCTATGGAGGGGTACAAAATCGAACCACATTTTCATCTCTGCCCAAAGTTTTTCGTTTGGAATTAAGTCAAGACTTTGGGCGACCTTATTGTTCACAATCGTAACCATAAATATTGGGGTGAGCGCTTTTATAATTTTCATAAATCTTAATTAAATATGATCATAATATGATCATTTTTAATTAGACAAACCATAATATTATTATTATTATGGTTTGTCTAATTTTAGTAAAAAATTTTGTCCGCATAATTTTGATCGACGACTGTATGTCAGAGTATGTATAATTGTTTTTATCGTAAACTATTATAAGATACTATTTCTTAACTGATAAATTTATTTTACAGCTTAGTGCGCTACAATATTCTAGATACATCCAGTTCATCTGCGACGAAAGCACGAAAACTCTTCAAGGACATTTGGAAAATATCATCGGCGAGAGAAAGAGAGCGAGAGAAAGAGCTATAAAAGGATTTTTGACGTCAAGTCTTGATGCATCACAATTAGCTTTAGCTTCATCTGGTCAATATACAAAACAATATGGGAAGTCAGAAGAAATAGAGCAATATTAATAAAAATTGCTAAGAATGTTGTGAGTAGGCATTACCTTAAAGGAATAGACTTGAGTTTTGTCAAGTCTTTAGAAGTTTTGATCCAGAAAGTATATTTCATTATTTCATTAGAATAATGCAAAGAAATTGCGCGAAGCTATCAGAAGAAAGCATGCAAATTTGCGAATAAATAATAATAAAATATGGAAGGGAGGGAATTGATGAAAATATTGTAAATATCCTAAGTAATTAATTATTTTTTATTTTATTAAATAAAAGATTCCTTTAAACCGAACTATAATAAATAAATTGTGTGGGACAAAGTCCTCTATTATTCGAATTCTTTTTTGTGAATAATCAATGGCATTAAAGTATCTCCTTCGCCCAAATTCCATACTCAAGAATACTTTGAATAACCATAATATTTGATACCGTCATAATGAATTTTTTATTTATGGAATTCCAACTATACTTTTCTCCAAAATGGTTCAGAACTTTTTAGATTGTAGAGACAAAAACTACAAGCAATAAGTGGAAATTCAAACCTTATGGCGAGTTTAATCGAGTTGTAGAACAAGTTACATTAAAACAGCAATTTTATGTCTGCAAAGATATTTGTTTCTAAATTTATTGGTATAAATTTGGTTACGATTCGCTTTATAAGTGTTTAGGTCATTTGTCCATTTGAAATGACCTTCAAATGACTCCCGAATGACTCGATCATTTGGGTCATTTAAAATAGGTCATTTCGCAAATGACAAATGGCTAAATGACCCCCTTTTAGATAGTCATATAATTTGAAGTCATTTGAAAGTCATTTGCGCGAACGAATGAAAAACTGTAATACTTGATTATCTTGCATTAAAAAATTTAAATTTCTTTTCGTTGCTATGGAAGTTATAGCGCTAAATAGACTTTGTTATGCAAAAATAAATGCAATCTAATTTTTTTGTATCACCGAAAGATGCATCGCATAATTTTTGTGAATTTTTTACATTAATTGAACTTTCAAAGAAAGTTCGTAAAACATGCATGCAGTATGCAATATTTGTATAAAACAAACACACTTTAGCAGTTACTTTGTTTCAAATATGGATATTTGTTAACTAAATAAAATTATTTGCCCAATAATTCATTTATTTTCTATTAAAGATTTTTTTCTAAATACTGTAATTCTAAACTATAATTACATCTTAAATAATTTATTTAGTTTATTTAAATGTTCATATTTACTTATTTTTTTTCTATAAATCACTCGATGATAAATTGAACTGCGAAAAGGACTTCCTAATCAGCACTAACGTTAATTTAATTCAAAAACTTATTTACAAAAACATATATATATATATTTTTTTACAAACTAATACCGAATTTTAGTTCTCACCAAGATGTTTTATCCAAGATGTTTTTGTATAGGTTCTTATGAGCAACTTTCTTATCTCGCCCATTATAATAAATGCAGCAAATTCGAGAGGAATGAAATAAATCTTACAGGAATCGGTCTGATTGGATTAATTAATAATAATAACAAATAAAAAAAGAATAAAAATGAATGAATTTTTTAATTTTTAATTATTTGTTAGAGTAGCATGCAAAGTAGAAAATAAAATAAAAATTTTATCTTACTTAGTATTAAAATAATCAACATAGATATTATGGAGATAAACATCAGCTCTAATGGATTTATCGATAATAGGTTTAAAAATTATTCCAATGTTGCAAAAGTAAATACTTTGACCTAATTAAAACAAATGTAAAATATTCCTAACTTTTAAATAATATCGAATTGGAAAGTACATACATTGTTCTTAAGTTCGTCCATCATATTTCCCACTTAACCCATCTCCTCAGTTGTTGAATGCTATAATGATCAAAGAATTAAGCAAATGAGAAAAACCAATATTCAGAATATTATGTTTATGATCTTAATTTACATCCTTAAAAGATATAAATTATAAATAAGTAAAGAACATCCAATGCGCAAATAGCATTTCCGCCATACCAACAAACCTGCAAAAAAGATTTGGCATCTACTAGATGGTCTATGGTTTCTTTGCATGGCTTTATTGACATAAGAACTGATTCAGATTTTCATGCATAAGGAATAGGAATTTTCAGTTCTTTTTAATTTTTTTTTAAAAAAATAGGTAAATGTAAATAATTGTGTTTTTATTTAAAGAAACCTGATTACATGCATGCAGCAAATGACGATCATGAGAAAAGGTGATAGTAGAAGTGGAACTCCAAGCAAGATATTGGCTAATACAAGCCACATTTCAGACCAAGAACCAGTCGGAAAGATACAATATAACTATCAAATACAAGTCGACCATTTTCCATATCCACGACGACTTATGGAAAATTGTTGTCCAGTTAATCCATATTTCCTGCTGCTATGGCCAAATAAGATCCAAATCCTATAGCAATTCCAATATTCGCTTTTTTAATGCTGGTGTGTCATTTACTCCATCACCGGTCACTCCCACGGTATTGTCTCACCTTTGAAGCTCAATTACCAAAAATTAATCTTTGTTATAACGAGTTTGTAAATTAACTTTTTGAAAAAGAAAAAACTATAATTTTAATTTTGTGCTGGAGTAGTTCTAAAAAAACTATTCGAAAATTTGCAATGGTGTCCCAGTATATATTTGTCAGACTCGCATTGGAAAGGTGTTTTCCAGTTAAAACATGTGAATTGACATTTAGTTGATAGTTATCTTCTTAAGTCTAGATTATCACCCTATTAATAATATAATTAATGTTATTCACTTTATCACTGGTAAGAATGCCACACTGCTTAACTACTGTTCCGCAATCAATACATAATCACCTGTAACCATGAAAATCTTCACTCCTGTCCTATGACATTTTTGAGTACTTCAGGTATTTCTGCACGAGTTGGATCTAAAATTTGTTTGTTGAGCAGATTAAGAATTTTGCAAGATATATATTATTGATGTAAGATAAAAAATTTCTTGTTGTAATTCCAACCAAACCAATAAATAATACATAAATTTTTTATTAAAAGATAAGGTTTAATCAGTTATTTCGACATCATTCTCAGGGAACATTTGTGATGGAATAATTTTTTCGATAACTAAAGTATCCTTCCTTGACCATATATCCTGATTTGCCTTAAATAGATTTATACTTTTCTGATCAGATGGTCTTTTACTACTTTCTGGATGAAGATAGAAAGAACATTTTCAACAAACCTTTGGGAACACCTACCTTTGCAAAAATATACAAGTTCTGCTGATTCTAGGACTTATTAACATTTCTGTTGCTACAGTGAACATGGAATTCGAAAACTCGAGGTAATCAGCCGCAGCTGATTCATAAATTGAAATTAAAAAATTTTTAACGTTAATATTTTGAGGAAAAAGTTTGAAGGAAATGATTTTCAATTAAGCAATATACCTCTCAAATCTTCAGCGAAATGGAGTAGATTAAAATCGTTCTTTCATATACTGAAAGCGTCATTTAGGCAGCATTAAATATTGCAGTATTGCATAAAGAAGAAGCTAATTATAAAACTCTAACTGCCTTTTTTCTGTATGATCAGTCCTCAATATACTTTTGCATTACTGGGGTTTCATCTCTTTGATGACGAAACTCACGTTTTTAACAAAAATTTTTCTTTGTTATTGTAACAGTTTTATACAAGCATCTATATATAAATAAATTTTGGTTATTAAAGTATTTTAAAGACAAATTAATTACTACTTACAGAATAAATATTATTGACACACCCAAGGGTCTCTATGACAAGAATTGATTTACATTAAAAATTTTGGAAATACGAAAGCTTGGCGATCAATAAAGTGACAGCTATAGTCATCTCTTAAACAAACGCCTAAAAGTGTTAAAATGAATAGAAGATAAATGATTACATGATAATACATAGATTTAACAATACTAATAGGTCATCAGTATAATTCTAATAGCAATGGACATACAGTTATTCTTTTCTGAAGAATCATAGGTTCCGAATCTGTAGCAGTTGATAACTTTGCAATCTTGCCAAACATGATCGTATCACCTAAAATTAATATCATTAAAAAATGTCAGAGCTTATCTAATCACAGGAAAAAAATATAAACTACTGATACATTATTACCAAGCAAAGCTATATTGTATTTCAAGATAGTTCTCATCCGTGGCTTCTGCATTCTTCCCAGTCTATATTGATCGATCAAATTTCATATCATTTGTCACTTCCACTAGATACTAATACGACAAGATCTGAAGATATTCAGAATAAATAAATGTTTATTACTGAAACAGAAGAAAGGAGCTTACTTTTAGATTGTGAAAATTAACATTACCATTTGCAAGTATTCTTTGGACTTTGGCCATCACGAATAACAAGGGTTTCAAAAGACAACATACTTCATCACCATTGATGTTGACCAATTCTGATACAGCAAAAACAGCCTGAATCACTACTATGATTATCTTTACATAATAAAGCCATTATTTAGAAATCCAAACATTTTTTTTGAAATACAAAAAAATTATAAATTCTTACTAGAACGATTCCCAATTCAAGCTTCGCCTAATGGACAATATCATGATAACCAAAGCAGACTACAGAATCCACCAAGAAAATAGCCAAAGGTTTTATATAAATATTTTGTTTTTAGGCGGGGAGATTGCATATTTATTATTATGGTACTGGGAATATAAACCGAAGTTTTTAACCATTCCCAGATTTAATTGGCTAGAAGCGTGTGATAATTATGTTGTGCGATATCACCTATTATGAAAAGAGAAAAGTAAGTCATATGGAAGAATGTAAATATTAGAATACGAAATAGAGGATACCATCTGCAGAAATTATTTTCCGGAATTTAAAATCTAAAGAAAAATACGAAAAATAGTGTTTTAGATTGATAGACAATCTTTCTAGGGTTAATCGAAGTATAGAGAAAGAAGTAGCGACATTACTGTTGTAGTCTTCAACAATTGCGTTTGAATACGAAGGAAATTGACATTCCACCCCAATTGAAACCCAATCCGATTTTTCATGCATTGCACGATATCCGATTAACCTGAATCAAAAGAACAGAACCAATAAATAAAAGAATTAAAGGTAGAATTTTTTTTTTGAAAGAGCTAAAATTTGATTTTTGTATTTGACCAAGTGCCAAGCGTATCAAAATTAATAATATGCACGACATGCAAGATGATAATAAGGAAATCTTTTATTAATTTCATTAATTAGTATGGTGGAAAAATACCCTTTGTTTAAGTCATCGGAATTAGCAAATTCAAGTCCGATAAATTAAAGCGATGCTTTAACATTACGAAAAGATAGCATAAGACTTTTGCGCAAAATCTTTCGGTTAATCATAGTACTTTTACCACATCCTGATGGTCCAACTAATGCTGCGAATTGTCGCGCTTTGATTTCTAAGCTGACCACAAAGAACGAGTGAATCGGGACGTGTAGGATAATTACAATGAACTTGAAAATTTTAATGTGTCCTTTAGCAACTACAATTTTCTTGCCATTATTAGACCATGTATCTATTCTTGGCTCGTGTTATATCAGGTGCATACGCAAAGATACGTCCGGATGATATGGCTCCAAAGAATACTACAATTAAAGTTGATCGTCAAACTTACGATTTGACTTAATTAAATATGAACCCGTACTGGGCATCGGCAAAGATCATATCACTCATTTAACATCTATAATAAATATACTGTACATGTAAATATATATTATTTTTTTTAATAATTAATTTGATTTGAAAAAAATGAATTAATTTATCTTGCAAGAAAATTTGTATACCATACCAAAAATACCATTGCTTCGGACAGATAATTAGTACGGGATGTGAGAGCAAATAGTCGTACTTCCAAAAATCGCATTTATATATCCTTCCTCCAGAGGCTCATCCAACAATTGACTATATAATTTCAATACGTCATTCTCTCGCGTAAGTGATGCAACGGTACGAGTCTTTCACATGCAACTCGAGCCGATCTTTCGTGAGCCTTTAGGGTCGTTGCTTCGAATTCTAACATCGTTTTAATTCGATATTAACCAACACATCATTAGAAATGGTGTCGAAATCATTGATAAAATCGCCAGTTTGCTAAAATTGAAATTTAGATTAACACGTATTATACTATATAATATCTTAATCTACTTTCTAGCCAGGTTTAATAGAAATAATTTAATCTCGCCAAACAGGATAAGTTAAAATTCTGCATAATTACAAGCAATAATTTTACAAAAATAACATACCCATTAAACACATTTAGAAAATGCTTTCGCTCAACCTGTATGATCTTCTTTGGAAATCAATTCAGCAAAATTTGACACAACTACGTCACAAAGCAAACTAGTATTTTTCACAAGGAAGTGGTGCAACAGCATAATCAGAATTTTTTTTGAGATGCACTTGGCTTGCTGTTAGGACGGATTTTCCAGCAGAAGCCTCTTAGAAGGTAAAATAAGTTGTACTATCTATAATAATATCAAAGATAGATCAAATTAACTACGCTGAAAATATGACGCATAGATTCTTTTATTGCCACAGAATATTCTAGGAATTCCCTGTGGTGCATGTGCTTTGGCTGGAATTGGAATCATTCAAGTATATATTAGTAAATATTTGATAATAAAAGAAAAACGATATTAAAAAAAATACATCAAATTTCAATATACTGTACAATGTAAAAAGGATCAAAATCCAACATAAAGCAATCAAACAATAAAGGCTTTTTTTCGCTGCAGATAATTTTCCCTTACCTTTGGTTTTTCATAAATTTCTTGTCTTCTCCCTTCTTTATATCGGTAGCCTTTACAAGAAGGGTATCATCGCTTCTTACCAATGTCTTTCATCATTGCTCTGATACTTCAAAATCCGAATTACATACAACCCTCACCATTATCTCAGTTAAAAGATTTTCAGTTCAATTTTAATTATTTTTTTTTATACAATTGACAAGAAATTCACGGGCTCTAGTTTACCTATGGGTTCTTTTTTCCGGTCCTCAAATACATTAGAAATTGTAACCTGTCAAAAGCAATTATTAATTATTTAATAAATATTAAATAATATACACAAAAATACGGAATCCAGTGCCGAAGCCAAATGTTTGTAAATCGTCGTCTATAAAGATAAGAACTTTGTTTTTTGTTCATCCGTAGACTGTAAATTTAACTGCCAACGGTAGCAAATCATGTATTTCTATTAAAATAAAAATGAGAATCCGTCTGAAAATATAGCATAAACAAAATTATAAATATATTCTGGCGTGTATTTCTAAAATTTTACAATAATTAAATATAAGAAAATTTTTATGTTAGATTATATTTTAATTAAGCATTCCTTGACTATAAAATCACATTTTTCATACAATTAAGTTTAATTATTTGAAATTTATGTAAATTCGATAACACAGTTGAGTTGGTATAGTGGTAACGGCGCTTGGCATAACGCTTATATATGCGAATATATTGGTGATATACCTTGGGTTCGATACTCACTGTATCAATATCAAATTGTTTTTTTTTTTTTAATTATCCCAACATTTTCCCATATCGTTAGCATATCAAGTAAAGCTTAGAAAAGAAATGGTAAAAATAGAATTACAAAATAAACAGTTAAAAATAATATTGTAATACAAAATAGAATAAAGTGTATGCAATAAATTAAAAAGAAATTAATAAAAAAATTTTAAAATAAAGCTAATAAATAAATAAAAATGATATTTTTATTATTGTTTTTATTTCATATAAATGTTTTTTTATTATTTTACATCTTTAAGTATAATTTAAATTTTATAAAGTAAAGAAATATTATACAAAACTAAACATATACGAAAAGGTAAACGTGTACAAAAAAGTAAATAGTTATATATTAACTATTACAAAATTATTAGAATTTGAAAATATACATATTATAATAATTTTCAATAGTATATACTAACTTGTATACAATTTTACCCAATACCTGCCATACTAATTAGCTGAACTGTATCATACCGGCTTAATCAATTTAATTAATCAAAAATCAAATCATATCTAATAAAATTGATTAATCAAATTTAAAATTAAATCTTAATGAGTCAAATTTTTTTATATTTTAGCAATGCAAAAAATAATCATATTACTTCTGTAATAGCGCATTTGTAAAAAAATTATCAGAATTAAATTGGAACAATTGGGAATGTCATTATGACCCTATTGAGACCATCGACAATGATTGCTATGCTGGCATCATGAACATCCCAACTTATGATGAATAGTTAACAACCTTAAAACATTTACCAGACAATAAAGCCTCTGGCCCTTCAAAAATAACAAATAAAATGCTCAAGAAACTTGGTCCTAAAATGAATCAGTTTTTATATACTATCATTTGTAGCCTTAGTTTCCCCTTTTTCATGATAAATTGATCGAAAATGCTCTCCTGAAGTATACTCCTGAGCGTCATCCTCTTGGTCTTTGACTTGCAAGGTGGTAGCTAACCCTTCTCTAAAAGCTTGGGTTGCTGAAAAAGATCAACAATAATCAACATAAATATTACAAATTAATAATGTTGTTTATAAATATTATTTCATAAACTTTACGTCATTTATAAACTTTATTTTTTTTTTCTTATAATTACAAAAATATGATTATATTTATGCGAAATAAGTATAAACAAGTAGCTAATAAAGTAGAAAAATAGAGATTAATACAAGAAAAAACAGATGATACTGATTTTGATAAAACTAATTTATTTGAATCAAAATAAAAAGCTAGTGATCAAATCATATCAAATAATAATATAGTAAATGCAATTAATAATACTGATAATAATAATACAAGCACTAGCATTATTGAAAATAAAACCATTTTAAAATCAAATAAAATTACAAGACCTAAACTAGTTGGATATGAAAATTTTTTAAAGAAACTGGAATGGTGATAAAAATATTTGTTAAATTAAAGATTGTGAAAAAATGCTTAAATAGTATAATTTTTCAAGTCCAATAAAAATACACTTATCAGATATATACTATATTACCAAAGGTATTGTAGCAAATTATCTGAAGCATTACAAAAAAGTGATCATAATCTTATTAGTAGTATAATTGAAGAAGAAAAATCTAAATCACTTTCTTATCCTAAATAAGAATCTTTAACTAAAAATGTAATTGGATTTATTATTGGTATAGTGCAACCTTTGTGTATTATAGAGAATAAAGATATTATTAAAATGATCAATAAATTTGATTTATATTATAAGATTACTTATTCTTATTTCAAAACTCTTAAAGATCAATTTCATTAGCATATGAATTAGGAATAAATAGAATAAATAACATTAATAATACACTTTACAATTAGAAAGTGTTTCTTTAATATGAATATTTAGAGTTTATTAACATATTTGTATTTCAAATTAAATTTGCTAAAAATAAATAAATCTAAGACAGAACTTAAGAAATCACAGGTAAAATACACAGTATTGTCAAAGATTATTCTCAATTTAAATACACATAACTTCTAGATATTTCAAAGTTTATGTTCAATAACTACATATTAAGTTAATATAATGAATTAATACAAATTTACGCAAAATTAATAAACAATATAAATTTACAAATAGGTTAAGGTTGTGAAGGGTAAATTTTTACTTGATTAATTATACTCTTTATTAATATAATTAGGGAATAGGATCCGTTCAAAGTTTGAAGCATGGTATATAAATTATAATATCTTATTTTATATGATTAATTATTTTGTAACACAAAGACATAACATGTGATAACGTAAACAAAATGTCATTAATCTATCAGGCTTGCTGAATTTGGACAGACAGAATGATCTTGCATTTAAATAACCTAGAAGTAAAATGTCCTTCGCTATGCTTTAGACAATAATAAAAGTAAGTTCTTTACCTAAAGGTATCGAAACTTAATAAAAATACAGAGATATTTATATATGTTTAATAACTAATAAAATAAACTAAACTAAATATATCAAAGAAAATAAATTGACATATTACTAAGAAATAAAGTTGACAAAATTGATCAGCGAGAAAATCATTGCAATAAAGTTATCCATTACACTGGAAATTAAGTTAACACATTGATCTACATTAATTATTAAGGAAAACTAAATTTACATTAGCATTTACAATATGATCTGCAAGGAAATAAAATTGATATCAGGATCATTAATCAAATCTTAACAACGTTATAATATTACAGCATAATGGGTAACATTTAAATTTGAACTATTTAAATTACTTCTTAATATAGAAGAACTAACTGCTATATTCACATAGTACAACTGAGATTTAGGAAAATTTAGTTAATCTGTTTGATGAATGGGAAATTAGTTCAAAAACTATAGCTATAATAGTTTAAATGTAACAAAAATATGTGGTAATATGAATATTAATGAAAGTATTCCTTATGCTATATATCATAAAAAAATTTATAATATGTAATTTGTTAATAAATGACTAAGTCCATCTAACAATGTTGTAGAATATTTTGATAAAATGTAAATAAAGGATTTGGAGTTGATATATTTTGGCAAAGAAATTGTTGATGCAATTTAACATAATATAATTAAATTAATACTTTAAAATTTAATAAATACTAAAATATATCTGTTTCAATATTATTAGCTTTTTAAGTCAACATCATAAAATCACACAATTGTGATAAATAGTCATAATTATAAAACAAGCCATATTAATACACAAAATTATACACAAGAGTTTATAAATAAGATTCGTATGATATCCATACGCTAAAAAAATTTTAACCGAAATTTTCAATTTGGCCCATTTTCAGTAATTGTTTATGCATACAATTAACCCACTAAAATAATTATAATAATTGAAAGTTATGAACTGGGCAAAAAGGTATTTTATAACAGAGACAATATATTAAAATTATGAATTCTTTAAATTTTTATAATACTGTATTACAGAATTTTAAAGATTTAGATTTCACCAAGAAAACAAATTATATTTTTTTTATGACCTTAGGATTATGCTAATATTTCCTTAAATAAACAAAGTCCACCACAATCTTCGATCTTGTTTTACTAGCCCTAAAACGATTTTTTTAACTCATCGCATTTTTCGCTGGAGTTTTGTCGCATATTATACACTTGAACTTAAAACATTGCGATTATAGAACTTCAAATGATTCATATAATCATTATGTGAACAAATGATAATTTACAATTTCTAGTTATTAAAAGATATAGTTATTGGTTTTCACGAGACTTTTATTGATAAAAATTCACGAATATATATATCTCATAATGAATCATTTAAAGATATTTGTAAGACTCATAAATTATATAATAAGAGTGTTAATCATTCCAAGAAACCATTAGCTTTTAACCAATCCTCAACATCTCTTGAATCACGCTTCAGCCAAGCTGCATTAACACGAATTTTTTCTATGCTTTGTTGCAAAGGCCTTTCAAATCCTTTACAATCCCTGTTAGAAAAGAATTTTTCGATATCCTCAATGTCATGTTCAGATGAGAATAATTCTATACTTTGTTTAATAATGTTTCCAAAAAGCGCACGAAAGTTGATATATTGATCATGTATCTAAAAAGAATGATCTATGTTTTAGTATGAATTAAAAACAAACAATTTAATTCAAAATAGAATTAAAATCATACCACATCCCAATTTTCTTTAACAAAGTTCCATAATAGTCTTCGTGATTTATGATTAGATTGCAAACTACAAATAAATTAAATTAAGACATGAGAAAATGTCATAACACGTAACATCTGTAATAAAAATTTTTCATACCTGGCAAATGCGTGAATAACATCTTGATTTTTAACTTCTTCACTGATTGCGAATTGTAATGCACGTTGAATCAAATCATCACGTTGAGCAAAACCGAGACCGGACAAAGCTTCTAATTTTTGATCTGCTGTTTTGGATTCACGATAAACTTTCAATATAGCTTCAAATTCTTCTTCCCCTCCACCATGGGATAAAACAATTTTAAATACAACACCACGAATATTAGGATGCAAAGCAGATTCATCATTTTGTTTAGTGAAAAGATTAAATCTACGATAAGCTTCCTTAACAGTACTAATAGACGTAAATTAAATTAATTAAATATAAATAAATATTGTAAAATAAACTACTAAACACATTAACGTACTCTGGATCATTAGCTCCACCGGCAATATTAATAATAAGTGTCCTCAACAATGTGGTCAAATAATCATCACTTTCAGAATATTCCCAACCCAATTTAGGAACTAACCTAGATGCTAATTGACGGTTGAAAGATAGAAGTCCTTGACAAATTGTTGTAGGTTGCTCAAACCAAGCATCAAGTAAATTTTTGAGACGAACACTGATCTCACTCCATACACTTTTAGAAAAGGTAATAAAAAATTTAGTACATTTAAAAAGGATTATATTAGTACATAAATAATTGCTAGCTTACACATATTTATCCTCGAATACAAATTCTTTAATGAAGTACAGAAAGTTGCTAGTTTTTCCATAACCACTAGTAGCTAAAGCACCAGCATCAGCAATTGTTCCAATACGATCGCTAACCTCAAGCAAACCTGACCTAACTGCTTGTCCTAATTTGAATAGCCGATCAGGGGTGTAATTGACACGAAAAACGCCAGTTTTGAGTGCATTAAGCTGATAAAAATCGGATTTTCTAGGTGGCAATTTTAATGTGATTTCCTTTTGGTTGAGAATAGAGGATTTAATTTCACTTTGAGTGTCAGGGCCAAGGTCAACGCCAAGAGGCACCCACCAATTGGTAGTATCCTCATCAGGACCAATTATTCCAGATGAAAGGAAACGACATTGTCGAATTTCCAAGGTTTCAGGTGCTGGTTCTTTAACAGTTAATACTGGATACTATGATCAAATTAGAGTGTCAGTATATATAATTAATATTAATAATTTCAATTATACTTACTCCCGCCATCCTTGTCCATCCAGTCATAAACTGACCAACATCGTTGCCACTCTCTTTGGCCAGCGCTTTCCACAAATCATCAGTACTCGCGTTACTGAATGCATGAAGCTTTAAATATCTTCTAATGCCAGATAAAAAAACTTTCTCCCCAAGATAGGTACTTAGCATGCGAATTACAGAAGCACCCTTGTAATAACTGATAGCATCAAACACCTGAGAAATTTCACTGAATATGTGATTTTCAAGAAATGCCAAACATCATTAATGATAAGCAATTCAAATCAATGAAACTCATAAAGTTAAAAATTACCTGGAATCATTTACAGGAACTTCAATAGGGTGAGAAGTTCTTAAAGAATCAAGTTGAAGAGCGTTCTGAAATCCTTCAGTAACAAATCTAATTAAAGTTTCCACATGAATAAATATTAATTCAACATTAGGAATATAAATTATAATTTCTACATCAAACATACTGAGTCCAAATATCCCATTCTGGAAAGAATTTATCAACTGCAAAATTTCCAACCCATGTGGCGAAACCTTCTTTGAGCCAAAGATGATCCCACCTATAAAACTTTATGATTATTATTGAGAATTTATCTAAAGTCGAAAAAAATGAAATAAATAGTCATGAAAGTTACCATTCCATAGTTACGAGGTTACCAAACCACTATAACAATATAAATCATTATCATTCAACAAATATTTACTACGAAAAGATTTTTAAATACCTGATGTGCAATTTCATGAGACACAGTATATGCAATATGTTTCTTAATTATGACATTAGAAGATATAGGGTCGAAAAGGACTCTGGCAGTACGATAAGTAATCAAACCCCAGTTTTCCATTGCACCTATTATATTCTTGGTAAATTATCAATTTTCAAAAATTCAATTAAGAATGATTATATCTTACCAAATCCAAAATCCGGGATTGCAACCATATCACATTTAGGCAAAGGATATGGAATTCCAAATACTAAAACCATTATTAGTATTATAATACCAGCGATCAATAGCGTAGCAATTATATAAGTTTTTTCAAACCTTCTACAAAATATTCTAAGACTTGTATTGCTACGCCTAGAGCAAATTCACCATGTTGTTCATTGCCCTTTGGGGCATACACTCTGACCAATATAGGTTCACCGTCATCGCGACCCCCAGTTGTATGGGCTTCAATATAACCCAAGTCACCAACAATGAAGGCAACCAACTATTAGATGACTTAATTATTAGTATTCTCGAAATTATATAATTGAAGAAGATATAAAATTAAAATAAACCACACATAGGTACTCATTATCGGCGTTCTGTTAAACTTGACTTCTTTTTTACCATCGCCGAGTTGAGTCTCGCTGACTACGTCCAAGTTACTTAAAGCAGTCATATCAGAGGGTACAATTAAAGTTATATCAAATGTAGCTTTAATTGCGGGTTCATCCCATGAGGGAAATGCTCGGCGAGCTTCTGTAGGTGAAAATTGAGTTGTTACCAGATATCTACATGTTAAAAGAATTATAAGTATTCATAACACTTTGAATAAATAGGATGGTGATGGGAAGTAGAAAGCACACTTAGTATTTCCGCTTTTGTCTTCATAAGAACTTCTATAAAATCCGACCATTTTATCATTCAAAATGCCAGTATATTCAATATGAAGGGAAGCAGTAGTTCCAGAAGAAAACTCATGTGGAAAAGTTAAAGAAACTGTTTCCTTTTGAGAATCATATTCGATATTCGTCGCTTCACAACTAGTCGTTCAATCAAAATAAATTGTTATGTATAAATTTATCGTTATGAAGTTTATAAGATTTACCTTTGACTGGTTTTTAAATCCAAATTTAAAAGCTTGGCAGATTTTACTTCAATATCGTTAACGTGAAGAGTTATAACTTTAGTGTTTTCGTTGATATCAATGCTAATACGATTAAAGAAAAATTTAATCAGAATAATGAATAAATAAATTACACAACTCATAAAATAGTACGTGATCGACTCCTCACTTGACAATTTCGGATCCGATAAAAGTGAAATTGACCATGTCTGGAGTCAAGGTCAAAGTGTAATGGGTCGGTCTTACATTAGTTGGTAACACTTGTCGTTTATCATGATTTGTTTGTTTTGACATGTTAAATGGAATGAAAATGCTAAATGTATATCTTGAACTTTTTTGTAGGAGACTAGTTCACAGTAAAAATGTAATAAAAAAAAAATTCACTTATTATGTACGTAACACGTTACACGAAATTTTAGTCCCTCGATAAACCTGATTTCTAGGAAATTTGTACTCCACATTTTATTAGTGTATGCAAAATAAAAAATCCAAGAACGAAATATTTATTTGAAAAAAAGTATCTCAATTCCTTGCGAATATCGAAATTGAGTCCATACCATAAAAAGATCTGGGATAAGCCTTGAGTTGTAATTCTTGGGTCTTTCGGAGCATTAATAACATGAATCATGATTTATAATAAATATGATTTAAATTTATAAACTTGCGATTTTTATACCGAACTGAAATTCTATTAGTTCGTTCGCTATAGAATAGTATTCGACGCGATAAAAGAGTTGTGTTTGTGAGTGAATTACGTAGAAATATTGCAATTATTTTGTGGGTAATTATAAAGCAATTGACAACTTCTATTTTTATATCATTTCCTTTTTGAAGAAAATGATACGAACGATTTCAATCTATTTTGTAATAGAGTCATGAGGCGCAGTTGCAAATTTTTTGACTGCCCTCAAAAATGCACGAAATAACCGGCATTATGAATTTCGGTTGAAATTAATTGTGATGCATATGTGACTGATAAGTAGTGACGAGTAGTATTCTTTGCCACCGAAAAAAATCCGTCCATAATACTTGGTAAAAAATGAAACAAGAAAGGAAATATATCACGTGTTTTTCGTGACATTTTTTTTGATTGATACTCGGGGGAAATCCAAATTTTTGTTGAATGAAATATTTTCATGATATATTCAATAAATATAGCAGATTATAATATATAGAGCTAAATAATACAATTTTTATGCATTATTATTAATAAATGTTTCATCATATCTAATATTGATTTTGAACATTTCTAGTTAAAAAAATTTTATCAGGAGGAAGCACATAAAAAAGAACGAATTAAATGAGATCGATTGTTAAAGCTATAAAAAATATTACTTGCAATGTACTCCATAAATTCCATATTTTAAATATTCTTACTATAACAAAATTTATGAGCTATTTGTAAAATAACATAAAGCGTTAATTCTAATATTCAAATGAAAGTTTCGAAATATTTTAATCACATACAAAATTATCATAAACAAAGTTTCCTAAAACACTCACTCCAACTAAACCCCATGCATGATGTTTCAAGAATCCCATTAAAAAATACTGGATGTGCTCATGTTCGGATCATATGATTTACTATGTCTCATAACCTGATTGATCAAAAGGATTCTGTTTTTCAATTTTTGGGAGTTCATCATAATAAATTAATATTTCCGATCAATTCTTAATTTTATCTATTTTTTTTAAAAAAAAATAAAATGCTAACCAATCATATTTCGTAAATATTTGATTTTTTTATTAAAACATTCTTCAACAATATCTTAATAGAGCTAGCATTTCATTCATAAATTTATAAATTTTAAATAATGACAAATAATAAATGTAAAGTAATAAAGTTTAGAATTGATTAATTTTTCAATATGTTTCCATCATATTTCGGCTTGTTCACCATCTCGAGCTGCCGCAGATTTCTTTCCAATTTTACAAATGGCTCAAAATATTGAGAGCATGTGGCAGCATATTATGGTGTTAAAGCTCCATCTTCAGGTCTTACTTTACTACAATGACGAAAGATCATTAATTAATATTAATCAAAAATATAAAAAATTGAGACTTTATATATGTTTATGAAATGAAGGTTTATAACTTTTCTGGTTCAGAGAGCACGTTATAATTTTTCGAGTATATCTTAGAACTAGGAACCGGTCTATAAATTTGGGCGGAGCTAGCGAAATATTTGTAATCACAAAAATCTTAATTCTGCCCGAAAATTAAAATTTCGGCCCGAGTTAAGATTAACTATTTTAACCAGTTAAAGAAAATCTTTAAACAAGTTATCTGTCTTAACCGGTTAATTAACCGATTAAAAATTAACCGGTTCCAACCTCTACTTAGAAACCTTGACTTTGTAAATATCAACTAATCATAGTTAAACTATAGTGAATTTTTTAGCATGTTATTAATACAAAAAAATCCTTCAAAATATAAAGTATGTATAAAGTACAATTGCATCCGAAGGTAATTAAATATCAATAAAAAAGTAAAAATTTTATTGATGTAGCTAAGACGCAATACTTATTAATTTTATTTTTTTTAACTATAAGGTGGAAATTTGCTTAATTTAGTATGCATCATGCCATGCCGCCTCGTAATTATTAATAACTTGCATAATACAATTCTCAAAAAAAAAAAAAATACGATAATTAAGTTATGATAAAATTTAATATTTGCCGTGCTGTGCCTCAAATACTGCGGTAAGATCTTCACAACATTATCGTTATACAAGATAATTTTTTGGTTTGGTTGGAAAAAAAATTTTTTTTTTTAATTTAAAAAAAAAGCTTTCTTTTAAAAATAATAACAATGTCTGATGACAATAAAGGTAAAAGTTTAATAGAAATGCCAAAAAATATATATATATATTTCCACCAACAAAAATAACGGAAATAAAACTTAGCACGTCTGAAATTGAGTATATTTAACGGTTAGATGATTTCTAAAAAAAAAATTTATTTACAAATTCACAGAGTCATTTTCGGATGTTATGGAAGTATCCTCATCAGAAGAAACAGAAGGTAACAGTAATTCCATGTAATATTAACCACATTTAAATATTATAATAATTCATTACTCATTTTTATTCACTATTTTATCAAATAAACATATAATCAGCTTCATGTGATGAAGGTAAACATAAATAATTAACCAATACCACGAAAATTGTAAAACTAACCTTGGGTGATGAAATTAAATATAATAACAATAATATTGCAATTCGTTAATTATAATTTTATTTAATTTAAAATTTGAAATATAGAATTAGTTCCGAGTGATGATGAAGGTAAATACAATAACAATTATATGTATTTAACAAATATTATAATTAACTATGTTCTTCAAAATATTAGAAGGATTGCATGGTAAAGAATAATCTATCGTTAGTCAAAAATAATATTTTAATTTTTAAAATAAAATTTAATTTAATATTTATTTATACATAGAATGTAAGCCATTTAACTTTTATATATCTATATATCCAATTAAATTTTGATTAAACTTTTTACAGTATCTAATGATTAATAATATCATAGGGAGTAAGTTATCTATAATTTTTTTATTGCAACTTAAACATAACTAATTTCTTTTAAAAAAAATTTTAATGGCATTTTAGTCGGTAAGTTATTTCCATGAAATATATTATATTTAATTATAATTTTTATAATAATTTTAACTCTCCAAATTTTTATTTATAGGACGTAAGTTATGTTTATTAATAAAAT